ATCTCCTCTCCGTGCTACTGTACACCCAAACTCACCTTCAAGTCTCTTCTACCGCGCGACCGCGCGTCTTTCACCAACGTTTCGCAACCACACAACGTCCTGAGCGATACCTACCTAGACTCGTCCGAAGAGACACTCGACCCGACCCGCCGGATCTGCACCTCGCCCATCCCGGTTTGTCAACCCAGCACAGTAAAAGGTTTCGTCCAAGCTGTGGCCCGAGTTGCTCATTGACTGACATTCCCCCCTCATCTCGGAACCCACATGCCGATGAACCTACGTGCTTCTTTGTACGACCCTTCGTGCATGAGAACACTCTTCGACTTTGCGAGACTCGCCATTCGGCATCAGCTTGCAATGGTCTACGTTCTTGGCAAGTCAAGCAAGATTTCGTCGGCTTCGAACAGATCTACGATGCTTTTTTTGTTCTACAGGTTAGGTGAACTTAGGTTTGACGGACCCTCTCGTGCCGTTGGGGGGGGAGCTTCATGCGTAAAGATGCAAGCTCGACGTTAATGCTCTCCGTGTTCTGCCGATGAGGGGTCGATGCCTTTTTTCCGGATTGCCATGTGCCAAAGCCGGACGATCTAGATCAATCTGAGAGTGAGACTAGGAGTGAGAGTGAGAGAAGGAGAAAACGAGAGCCGAGTACAAGGTTTGGATCGATACAGTTTCGATGTGTCCCACCTTTCTTCCAATGGGAATACCGATATGCTCTGGGCGGTCAACGGCGGCTCCAGGCTGGGACGAGCCGCAAGCCTGCCGCTTCTGAGCCGCTTTCTTGGCATCTGGTCGATTGTGATGGACTCCAGTGAGAAGACTCGGCACAATCGATTTCTCTGGTTGCTCTACTACCACCACAGTAGGTTCAGCAGTTACATCCAGTCACATCAAGTCATGCATCATTCGAGCATGGCACACCACTCTGCTTAACAGGTATCCTCATATACATCATCGAGATGCCAGATCGTACATTTAACTCAAGGTCACTCTTGTGTGGTGGTTTTTTTTCCGGCTCTACAGGCGCAAAAGATCGACCTTGACGGGATGAGGCTTTCAAGGGAAATCACACGATACGGTACAAGGCCACTCTCATAAAACGGGGCTTCAGAAACTAACAGTTTCGCATTCTCATTATCTTCGTAATTGCCTGAGCATCTATCATCTATGATGTACCCTCTCGCAATCTCGCGAGAGAATTTCTAATCGTGCCCCAGTCTCTTTTCTGTTCATATTCCCAACAGATATACCGCTGACCTGGCAATTATCGGTATAGGAGTTAGAGAAGAAACCTCTCTGAACGAAGGGACAGCTTCTCTCCCCCCCCCCCCCTCTCCCCCCATGAGAAATCTCCAGGATTCTCTTCGTGTGGGATCCTGTTCTGTAGTCCCGTCTAATGCCGTAACGCCTTTGGGTATACCGTATGCTTCCGATAAACAAGACATTGTTCCTCGTGCCCCTTTTTCTTCTCCCGTATCTAACATAATGCAACGGTGGAGAAGGGGTATCTCTCTAAACGAACGCTCGATCTGATGCTCGGATCAAAGTTCGTAAGTCGTAAGTGGGAACTCTTTTGTTCCCGGTGGGCAGTATACATCGGTGCCCATATGTTCGATGCTCTTCTCTGCTCTCTTTCTCTCTCTCTCTATTCCTCTGCGCGCCGTTGGCTGTGCATGTGTGTATGTATATTTCACATACTCACTCACCACCACGATTCGGTCACAACACATCCTGGGTAATAGGCCTCATCTGCTTCTCCTTCCAACTCGCAAGCGGGACTTTCACCCAGACGCCGTTACTCGCTTTCATCCACGTGAGATTCCGCGTCGAGATGAGGATCCTCGGCTTCAGCTTGGGGTCGGCGTTCGCCGCCGCCGCCGCAGAGAAGGCGGAGAAGGGGGATACGCGGGCCGCGTGGAGTGCGACTTGTTGGTTGAGCCAGTGGTCGACGCGGGCGGCGGTGGCGTAGAGGGATGCGAATCTCGAGGGGTAGGTTCTGACTGGTGCCGTTGCTGGCGCCTCTGGGGTGGGCGTCTCTGAGACTGTTGACTCTGTCGACTCCGTGTCTGTTGTCGATAGGCTTCCTGCTGCGGCTGGGTATACCGGGATCCTGGGCTCAGGAGACTGACGGGAGCCCGCGACGTCTTGGTGGCGGTGGAGTTTCCGGCGGCGGCTGGCGGCGGAGGCTGGAGATGAGGACGACGAGGCCTTGAGCTTGAGCTTGATTGCCTTTGGCTTGGTGTCGGGGTTCGGAGTGGTTGTGCCTGTTGTCGTGGGCGGGGTGAGGATGGGCTTGGAGGGCAAGAGTCTGATTTTGGTGATGGGCTTGAGGTTGGAGGCGTTGGTGTTTGGTGTGAGGATGTTGGCGCCGGCGCCGGCACCGGTGGATGGGGTTTGGGGGTTGGCCATTGTGAAGTCTTGTTGTTGAGATGTTTGATGTAGTGTAAGTGCTCCCTTTGGCCTGGATTGGCCCCTTCGATATGGTGAAGTTGGTTCGTTGGACTTTGAGACCGAGGCGGAAGTTTATACTGTTTATGCCCGGTTGGAAATCGCAAGGCGATTAAAGCGGGAGGAGAGTAAGTTGAGATTGAGGAAGGATTTTTGCCTTGAGTCTTGATCAAGTCGAGTTGGAAACGATGTTGATATCGAGGCCCAAGTCGTTTTTCAAGTCTTCGTCGTTGTTACAATATGTTTGCGTTTCTTCTTCAGATCCGCAAGGTGTATGAAGGATGTAGAAAGAACCAGAGAAAGATGCTAACAATAGTAGGGCCCGAGTACGCCTTTATAGATCGTTCAAAGGACGAAAAGGGCGGTTTCTCGAATATGAGCGGTGGCCGAAGAGGTGAGTGAACGAAACAACGGAGATGGCTATTTGCCTGATTAGGGAAATTACACGGCCAAAATGGGACTTTTCAGATGAAGAAGTTGAGGGGAGCTTTTATTCACTGCCTTGCCCGGTCTGACCTTGCTGGGCTGGGCTGAGCCATCTCCGTCACAATTTTGAGGGCGAGGCGAGGCAAGGCGAGGAAATAAGGTCGGGTGGGTGGTTGGTGGTTGAGAGTGAATGACCGACCTGCCTGGTCCGCGTGACTACCTCACCCTACCAACCTATCTCCGTATACACCTCAAGACTCGAAAAGCCCCACAAGGCTCCAGCAGTCACTCGGCCTCTCTGTGATTCAGACAATTACCATGCCTTGTCTTTTCCTAGGTTTTTCCAAGGTTCGTGGTTTTCATGGGTTTTGACAACGGAGAAAGATCAAGTTGAATGAAACGGCTCCTTTCACGCAAAAACAATGTGTTGAAACTCCCCTCTATTTCGGGCATCAAACAAGCTAGACAAAGAGTTGATGTAGACAACATACTCTCATACACACAATAAAGAGGTTGAAATCCTTCAATACCTCTCTTGTTCTTTCGTTCTTTCCCACCTCAATTGCAGATTTTGAGCATGGATCAACGAATATCTTGAGCCCCTCCCCTTCACTCCCCTTAAACCAACTGACCAACCTGATAAAATAGATCAAATGGCGACCTAGGCGAAATTTGACTCTTTAATTTCTTGCCTTGTACTCGGCGATAATCTTGTCGATGCGTCGCTCAGCCTCCGGCGTCGTCTTTGGGTTATTTCGGGGATCGGAGCCGCTTCTTGGAAGTAACGGGTCCGGGAAATGCTCTGTTTTTTGGAAGCATTTTTGTAAGCTTAGCCCTTTCATCTCTTTCTCTTGACTTGCTTCAACCATGTCGTTAAGGTGGGTGCCATCAAATCACCTCACAACCCGGGGGGGGGGGGGGGCGGAAGTTTGGAATTGAAGCGAACGAGGTTCACTTACTGGGGTCGAATCTCTGGTCGAGAAGTTTCGCCTTGAAAGACTCGTACTCTTCTCTGAACTTCTTATTGTTCCAGCTGGGTGCGGCCGCTACCGCCGCCGAAGAAGCTTTGGGGTCGTCTCGGATGCTTCCTCCAGCCTCGGAGCTGGGGGTCTGAAGCTTTGCGCCACCTGCTGCCATTGTATTTGCTGCTGAATAATTTTTCTTCAATGTTGTGTAAACGCGGGTTGCTGAAAAGTGATGAGCTGTTTGCCCATGTATATCCTGGGGTTGGGTGTTTGTACCACCGCTCAGCTGTAGCTCGTGAACTCACCTTGAATCCCGACTGGGCAGTAGGAGGATGTGCCAAGAACCGGCGGAGGGGGTTTCAGGAGATTATTGAACAAAGGCCTCGAGAGTTAGGAAGGAAGTATTGAAATGTGGGACCTTTTGCTCAATCCTGTTGAAGAAGCTAAAGTTGAGGTTATTCCGTCGCAGCTCTGCCTAAGCACCGCAGTGAGTGATAGAGTGGTAAGTCACGTATGAGGTGAGATGGACATCGCTCGCCTGCCTCCAGCTGTCACCCGGGCCCAGCCAACCCCACCATTCCAAGGGTGTTTCCAAGATCCGATGCGCCTGCTGACCCCTGGGTGCCCCTCCACACAAGTCCGGAGAGGATACTTATGTAGTACACAGTTTTTCGCCCAGATAGAGGCGAAAGTCAAAGTAAACATCATGTCCATGGCTCAGCTGAGGGGAGCTAAAAAAAAAAAAAAAGCCGTAGCCGCCTCGGACGCCTCTGACCAAGGCACAACCGACAAGGGGTCCGTTAACCTCACTCATCTCATCCCACCTTTTTTCCCCCTTCTACCTTTAACATCATTGTGAGCATCGACTTCACCACCCTTTGGACAACCTGCCATTTTTGGTTCTTGTGTGTTCACCTTTATCCTATCCACCCATCCAATGCTCCCACATTAGCCCGAGATCACCGCTCGCCTCGTCACGGTCACAGCACACCTCTCTCCTCCCTTTCAGGTCTCAGCTTCCTCAACCGATCGATCGCCCACCACCTTTCTGCAGGCAGGCCTCGACACCCTAGTGAAGCTTCACCCACCCCCACCATCACGGTCACGTTATCACAAACTTGGGTCGCTTCAGGAAACACCACCCGACAAGAAGCTGAAAAGATGGTCAAGAAGGGCGGCGCATCTCTCGTCCCTGACGCCTGGGAGGATGATGACTGGGAGTCCGCAGCCGACAAGCTTGACGCCCAACCCACAGAGGTGCAGCCTGAACCACAGGTACCGATGACCAAGGCAGAGCGGCTCGCCCAGCATGCCGAGCAGAATCGAAAGCTTTGGGAATCAGCGTATGTCTTTTTACCCGGAGTTTTTCATGTGCCCAAACTTTGGCCTTTTCTTTTACCTATTCCTTGTACTGCCAATGGCAATAATTGTCAATAGGGAAAAAAAAGAAGAGGCAAGCAGCTAACACAAAGTTCGACCTTCACTAGTGACTCCCCCACGCCCACACCAATGACCTTCCTCGAAGCCCAACCCTCAGTCCCCCTCGCCACGGGCTTCAAACCCCAGGTCAAAGTCCTGAGCCGAAAACCCGCGCCCCGAACAATCGCCCGGCGCGACCCCGTCACCGGCCTCCTCTCCCACCTCTCCCTCGCCGACGATGATGCCGACGATCAGCACGCCGAGAAGAAGCCGCAGCTCACGCCCGAGGAAATTCGCGCTAAGCAGCAGCGCGAGCTCGAGGAGAAGCAGCGGCGGTACGAGGAGGCGCGCGCAAAGATCTTTGGCGAGTCGAATCCTTCCTCTGGCGCTTCGAGCCCGAGTGGGACAGTCACGCCACCTAGAGGGGGAGGAGGAGGTACTGAGAACGAAAGAGGTGGAGGGCGCGGCCGTGGACGAGGACGGGGTCGTGGCGGCGGCGGCGGTGGTGGATACCGAGGGAACTCGAATCGACAAGACGACCTACGACGACCTGGTAGCAGTCGATCCGACGCCGTTCGCGCCGAGAGCGGTCGTGAGCTCTACGACCCCGGATACGCACCCCGAGGCGGCTTCGGGATGCAGAAGCGTGGGGGCGGCGACAGCCCAAACACGTACAACACGTACAACCCGCATTCTGGACGTTCAACCCCGAGAGACGTCGAGGACCAGCCCAAGCAGGCCATTCGAGCTCCACGCGGACCGGATGGGACTGGAAGAGGTGGATTCGGCTTCGCCAAGCGAGGCACAAAGGAAGGATGAAATTATTGCTATGCTAATTTGACTCTTCCTTTCCTTCACAGAGAGAGAAAGAAGAAACAAGCAAAAAAAAAGACTACCAGCCTCCACCAATCTTTCCCGCCAGCTGAACGACGCGCTCCGTGTCGCTGGCCTTGTCCTTGCCCACGTCGCTGACCACCTCGCGATACGTGGTGAGGGCCAGTCTACCCAAGTCTATGCCAGTGCAATCCGCCCAATGCGCCAGGGTATCTCGAATGTAAGAAGGCGAAATTCCGTCAACAACGTCGTCTGCTACTTGCAGACCGTCACCGTTTTGAGTAATACCATTGCTCTCCTCGCCGTCAGAGTCCTCTGCTGAAAAGTAGGCCTCGTCGACCTCGGCCAGGAAATCCTTCTGCTCCAGAGGGCCCGGCTTGCTCTCGTAACCCTTGCGCTCCACGACGATCGGGTCGTCCACCTTGATCTGCCCACCGCCGTTGGTGCAGCCGCCGGGGCAGGCCATGACCTCGACGTAGGCGTACTCGAGCCCGGCAGACTTCCCTGTAGGTCTCCTAGCGGCGCCAAACGCCTTGCCGCCGGGCATACGGGACGGCCGCGCCGGCTTCAGCTTGCGGACCAGGTTCTGGATATTGCGGAAGCCGTAGTACCGCGCAGCCTTGAAGATGGGGTCGCCCGTGGCGGAAGCGACGACGAACTCGACGACGTCGGCGTTGCGGCCGCGGATGACTTGGATCTGGGAGTTGGGGTGCTTGGAGGCCACGGTCTGGAGTGTGAAGTAGAGGTTGCCGCCGGAGGAGCCAGCGGCCACAGAAGAGCGGTGGGCTCCACGGGCCGGGAAGAGGAACTTTTCCAACCTCGCGTCCGGGAACGGCGTACGTTGGAGAACACCGGCGGGTGGCTTAGCCCGCGGTAGATTAAAGAAATTGAAACCCCTTGACTCGGCCAGCATGAGGACCTCCTTGCTCGTGATAACGCAATCCACGTCGCGGACCCCTCTACCGGGCTTCCCGTCCCCGTCGGGACCCCACACCGAATCCGTCAGCTCCTCGCGACTAGCCTCGAGCTTCTTGTCAAAGCACGGCATGACGGCCAGATGCCAGATCCTGCTGGGCGGGATCCCTAGCTTCTTGCTCAGCGTCGTCTTGAGGAGGGTGCCCATGAGCGCCTGGGGCGACTTCACGCGCGACAGGTGCGGGAGGACGTAGGGATGCGTCTTTTCGGCGTAGCACACCCACCCAGGACACGAGGATGTGAGAATCGGCTTGGTCGCGGGGGTCGACGGTGATGGGGACGACGAAGCGCCAGCTGCTGCTGCTGCTGCTGCTGCTGCTGCTGGGCTACTGCCACCGCCCAGGACCTCATCCGCCCCGAGAACAAGACACGCCTCGCGCGCAACGTTGGTATCCAACACCCACGTGAACCCGTTCCCATGCTTTCCCCCGCTGGCAAGACCTTGCTCGCCGCCGAAGAGCGCGTCCAGCATATACCCCGCCTGCCTCTCCGTCGTGCCATCCCCCGCAGCAGCAGCTAGGCTCGCCCTCGTCTGCGGCGAGACGCTCGCCACGAAGAGCATCCTGCTCTCGTCCTCGAGCCCCTGGACGCGGAACTCGCCCGTGGTCGGGTCCGGGCCGACGATGCGGAGGGACGGGCCGAAGTCGAGGGTGTTGAGGACTTCGGTGTGGGATTGCATGCTCACGAGGACGGCTTCGGCGGAGGTGACGCAGCCCGAGCAGGCGAGGCAGTCCGTGAGGGAGATTTCGGCGGGGGGCGCGTTGCTCGCTGCGGCGTTGGTGTTGGAGCCTGGTTGGCCGTCGAGGATGACTTCGTGTTCGAGGGAGGCGTCGAGGGGGGGTTGCGGGGGCGCGGAGGGGAGGGTTTCGATTGGTTTTATGCAGGCTACGCCTGGACTTATGAAGTCGTTCAGGTCGTCTGCGGAGAGGATTGCGCTCATATTGGAGGATTTTCTGGTCGTGGTGTCGTGAGGCGTAGAGGAGGTGAGGGAGGGAGGAAGAGTGGGAAGGGAAAGGAGGGGAGGCGGGATGTCGAAGATGGCGGGGCAATGCGCGGATGCGATGCGATAGAGAAGTTGGCGATAAGAAGTGTGAGTCGCAACGCAGCGGGGTGTGAGAGAGACGCGAGAACACAAGCCGTTCGTCCAAGTATGAGTATGAAAACGATGGGAGAGAGCCTATCTTGTTTGTGGACGACCTGTGGTTCCTCCTTGTATTCCGCGAGGCCGGAGATGCGCAAACCGAGTGGTGGATGGGAATTAATCGTTGATTGCAAATCCATCCCCCACCACTGGGTTTTTTTTTCGCAGAGTCAACACTGCTGACAGTGCAGGGGCGCCTAGGCTTTGCGAAATCGGCATCCACTCAGTGGCGGGATGGGAAAAGTGGACAGGGACCTGGGCGCCCCTCGCGGCATCGGCCCCTGAGGACCTGACAGGATTACAGGGGGCATTGCAGCTGGCCGACGCAGGCCGTCAAGTGGTAATCGGGACTATGGAAGCCATGGCGGGCAAGGGACGCGGTGCCGGGGGCCCGTCCAATGACGTCGGTTCGTCGTAGCTCTCTCTTCCCTGAGCTCAACTTTGAAGTCACCTCATTCCACGCGAGGCAACGCTCTACGAAGCTTCATTAATACAGCAACGCAAGCTCTTACAGCAGTAATCCGTAGCCTTCAACTCTTCAATTCCACCTAGATCACTCGTCGTACAAAAAGGAACTCGAAAACTGCTCACCGTATCACCCAATGGACGTAAGCCGTCTTCCATCCACCATGCTCGTCTCATAGAAATCCTCGCTGACATACAGCCCTACCACGAACCAATAGGCGATATCAACCTTCAGCTTCGGAAACCTGGGCTGGCTCGCGACCCAGGCCGTCCCGCTCATCATATGGCCGCGCTTCATCACCAACCTCCTCCGCCCCGATGACTACCAGTACGCCGCAGGCTGTAAGTCTCTCCGTCGCCCCCATCCCACCCACCTCGTGTGAGTCCCCAAGAGTTGACTGACTGACCAACATAACCTCCAGCTCTAGAAGACTACTTCGCCCGTTCCCTAGGCTTCGCCCTCCTGACCCTAGGCCTCCTCGTCGTGACCCTCTCAGGAGCAGTGCCACTCGCATCAGAGGACCTAAGTACGATTCCCGTCATCCCCCCTCCGTCCCCTTGATGCCCGAACACCAAATCTCTTAGTCTATTCCTAGTTCACACAACTAACCTCCCAAACAGCACCCGCAGGAACAGTCTCCCCCTACGCAAACGCAGCTCTCATTCTCTCCTCCATCCACCACGCCTCAGCCGGCTTCTACTGCTACAGCAGATGGCTCCGAACGGGGCAGACGGCCTTTGCCCTCGGCTGCCTCGGCAGCGCCATCTTCGCCGTCTCGGGGCTATGGTGCCTCATGTTCGCCGGGGACAAGTCGCGACGCAGCAAGAAGCACGGCTACGATAAGGACACAAGCTCGTTCCCCTTTAAGAATACCGAGTCGTATAGATCCAAGAAGAAGGGTTTGTAAAGGGGAAACGGAAAAGCAAAAAGAGAGAGAGAAAGATTGTAGCTGTTGTAGATCGAGAGGATTGGCAGCCATCTGAATGCTGGTGAACACAGAATGGCGGCAAATTAGCAATAATGCTTTCCCTTGATAATGTTCAATGGGCCTTGACTGTCATCTTGTGGTTAAGGTAATACAAGAAAAAAGTCATCCTTAATACTTTGCGCTGCCAAAAAATACCTTTGTGAGATGGCATGTTCGGAGTCTTATGCAAGGTTAAACAGGCAAAGAAATGACAATGAGAAAAGCAGTCATAAGCTGCTTCTTTAAGTGCAAATTGAAACACACTCCCTAGTGTACATATACTCCATGCGCCTATTTCCCTGGCCGCCTTCCTCATGACTCCCGTCATGCACCAAAAGACGTCAAGTTGTGCTGTCCATACTCTCTGCTTCTTCTTGGGATGCTTTAGTAGGTATCATTTTACGTCCTCTTGCCAGACGCCCGCCTCCGTTTCCTGCTTCCCTTGATCTCATGACGGCCTTGACGAGGGTGCGCAGCGTTCTGCTTCTTCTTCCGTATCTGTTGTTTTTGGCAAGTCGGAGTTGTATCGTTTCCTGTAAATTCCTCGGCGCCTCGACCGCTTCGAACGCACGCACACCGGTACCGTCCTTCCAGTGCGTTGTGATATGGTGATAAAAAAGCATAAACCAGCCGCAAAAGATGCACAGAACTGGGGAGTCACCCATTCCCTAGGGGACTCCTTGATATTGCCGCCGGCCTAGGTCAATCTGTCCAACTAGAACTGGACGCCTGGGTTCCAGGATACCAAGCGCTGACCCTAACTAGCTGCCGCTACTTCAGTGGATTTAGCTCCATTCACCAGAGTCTCTTCGGCCTTGGAGGCTTCCTGGGAGTCTGCGCCTTCTCCGTTGGTGACTGTCTGGTTACCTTCTTGGCTCTCCAGCACGCCCGAAAGCTGGACATCTGCTGCGCCAGAAAGGACTGCCTGCCTGCGTTCATGCCAGTCGACCTCACTCTTGACAACCTGGGAGAAGAGAACCTCCTTCTCGCGCCACAGGTCCTTGTACTGCTTCTCCCAGTACTTGACCTCTTCCGTCAGCTTGACCGACTCCTCTTGCGCCCACTTGACTTGGAATCTACAGAGCTTGTATAGCCTCTCAAGGGGGATCTTGAGCTCTTCAGGAGTGAAGCCTTGATCTTCAGTCAAGGGAGTAAACAGGTCGGCAGAGAGCTCGTCGTCGTCAGCTCCGTCATCGATGGCATCATCGTGTCCCGCAGCGTGTGATTGAGGAGTCTTGATGATGATTTTGAGCTTTCCCTTTCCCGTGGGGCCCGCTTGCATAGACTTGGGGACAGGATCGGAGGGACGCAAGGCCTCTGTCTCGTGGACGGTCCGCATGTGCTTTGCGAGAGCATCTGATCTCGTAAATGATCTATCGCATTCTGTCTTCAAGTTAGCCGGTATGCCCCAAGGCTCTGCAAAGGATGGTCACAAACCTGGTAGATAACAGTAGAAAGGCTTCTCCCTGGTATGGCTTCGCATGTGGGCTTTCAATGCGTAACCGCTAGCATGCCCCATGCTCTTTCTACTGCATCCGGTCCATTCGCACGTGTATTTCTTCTGCCGGCTTTCGATGTGATCGCTGTGAATATGCTCCACCAACTTGTCCATGTTGCCAAAATCACCCGCGTCGCAGCCTTCCCAGGCACAGGAAGTTACCTGCTCCTGGAAGTCTTCCTCGTCTAGTTTGGCGTTGATGGGAGAGCTGGGAATGTCGCCAGACGTGTCCGAAGACACGTCCGACATGCCCTCCAAGGGATCCGGCTCGGGTACGGCTTCTGGTTCGGGTTCCGCGACCACCGCGGGAGACGTTGTCGAGGCTGCGCCTAACTTCTGGCGCTTCGAGGGACGCAGGAGCGACTCATCCTCATAATCGTGGACCTCCTCCTCCTCGGAGGTATCGTTGTGGTCCGAGGTGAGGGGTGAGTCGGGCGGTGTTGAGTCTCCACGAGCCATGTTGGGCCGTTGAATGATGGAAACCTAGCACTTTGAAAGAGGCAGCGATGAAAGGCTGTGGATTGTTCGGTGATCAAGCGTAATAATTATCGCTGCGAGAGGAGAAGAGATCGGAGATCAATATAATGAGAAACAAGCTATGCGCTGCTATAGTGTATGGGATGATGAATTAATTGGGAGTAGCCAGCGGGATGCAGGTCAATCGCTAGAAAAATCACATCGGCCTCGTTCCTGACAACTTTAATGATGTTTGCGCCTGGGCTCAATCCTCAGGGTGTCGCGACGAGCAGCGCGGCTCACGGAGCTCATCTTGTGGGTCCACTTACCAAACCAACTCTGCCAGGTGTCAGGGGTACCCTCAGAGGGCAGCCAGTGGGAGCCAGCTGTCAGCGTAAATGACGGCAATCGCCTCCTAGCCAGTCGGTGCCTGGCACCCTGTGACCACAACCAGGCACACGGAGGCAAGCCGCACACAGGCACCCACCCGGGCTCACCCCCTGCAACTGTGACTCGGGGGGTCTTGTGGAAAACAAAATAAAGTGACTTTGTTTAACCCCTCCCCCACCATAAACATCCCCGACATACACTCATTTTGCGCCTTCGCTGCCACCTTGCTCTCAGCCTTTTCAACACTCCTTGCTTATCAACAAATCTATCATGGCGACCACGCGCAAGGTGTTCTCTCTTGAGGGAAAGGGTCTCAAGCTCGATACTGGCGCCGACCTCGAGCCCCACATCGCCGACTTGCGCTCGACCGACGTCGAAGAGGTCAGGTTCCTGGGAAACACCCTGGGAGTCGGTGCTTGCAAGCTCCTTGGTGAGGTCCTGTCCACCAAGAAGAACCTCCAGGTAGGCGAACAAGAGTTTCCAGCACACGTAGAACCATCCACTGACCAAAAGTGACTAGTCCGCCGACCTCTCCGACATCTTTACCGGCCGTCTCCTGAGCGAAATCCCTGAGGCCCTCTCCTCCCTCCTCACTTCTATTCTCAACCTCCCTAAGCTCACGACGATCAACCTGAACGACAATGCTTTCGGTATCAACACCCAGGCCCCGGTCGTTGCTTTCCTGGCTGCCCACGTGCCCCTCCAGCACCTTTACCTGAACAACAACGGCCTCGGCCCCCACGCTGGTATTCTGGTGGCTGATGCGCTCTCTGAGTTGCACGCCAAGAAGGAGGCAGCGAGAAAGGAGGGCAAGGAGGTCCCGTACCTCGAGACTGTCATTTGCGGTCGCAACCGTCTGGAGAACGGCAGCATGCAGGCCTGGGCCAAGGCCTACAGCCTTCACAACAAGATCAAGGAGATCAGGATGATCCAGAATGGTATTCGCCAGGAGGGAATCAGCCACCTTATTAGTGAGGGCTTGAAGACTGCGACCGAACTGCGCATCCTCGATCTCCAGGACAACACCTTCACCATTAACGGTGCCAAGGCCCTTGCCGGTGTCCTTCCCAACTTGACAAACCTGCAGGAGCTGGGTCTCAACGATGCCTACCTCACGCCCAAGGGTACCAAGGTTGTCGCCAAGTCTCTTGCTAAGGGCAAGCAGGACAAGTTGGAGACACTTCGCCTGGCTTTCAACGACATCACCCCCAAGGCACTGGAGAGCATCGCCGGCGTTGTTACCGAGTCTCTGCCTGCCTTGAAGAAGGTTGAGCTCAACGGCAACAAGGTTGAGGAGGAGGACCCCTCCATCATCGCCATCCGCGAGTTCCTCGAGGAGCGCAAGGAGAAGATTGGTGGCGATGTCGTTGATGAGGACGCTTGGGGACTTGACTGCCTGAGCGACCTCGAGGGAGAGGACTCTGACGAGGAGGAGGAGGAGGAATCCGAGGAGGAAGAGGAGCTGGATGCCGAGAAGGAAGCCGAGATCCTTACCAAGGAGGCTGAGGAGGCCCAGGAGGAGCCCACCGTCCAGCTCAAGGACAAGGAGGTGGACGATTTGGCCAAGAAGCTGGCCAAGACGGAGATTTAAGAGATGTATGGAAGCATTTTCTTTGGTTTACAGGTTTAGATGATGGAACGCAAGAGGAATGACCCCCCATTATACAGGAGTGAGGAGACAGAGACGATACCCCCCAAAATTACACTTCATCCCAAACAGTCTTGACCGTGGTTATTACATGCAGATTGTCATCTGACCGGCGGGAGTCCGATGCAAAAATATCTACGTCATTCTCCTGGGCATTTAGGCTTGTCGCAGTACGGGTGGTGTGCCCGAGGTAGCACCAATCCCGACCGTCACTCCACGGTCACCCCACGAAGCCGGCATCCACGGCGATGCCAGATCACAAGATCAACGAAATGGAATCGCGTGAGCTTGAAGGGTAGTATATAGTATGCGAAAGACTGTCCCTTTAGATTGATAGTTGCAACTACGAAATGATTTCACGAATAACTCGGGTAACAAATATACCTTGACGAACAAATACACTGCACAGAAAGAATTCACCCCCTACCCATCTGAAGCCAGCAATCATGGACTCCCTCTTCAAAACCACAGACTCGGTCATTGAGATCCTATGGGACGTCGCGCTCGCCTTCTTCATCGTTCGCATCGCATTATCGTACTTCTTCTTCACCTTTACCGCAACAACGCTGCTCTCATGGACCGTCTATACATACCGCCAATACTTACGACTGCCCCTCGTTTCCGATCAGCAGCAGCGGTATCTCACAACCTCACAAAGCGACCCTTTCGTCTCGGCGGTGATGCTTCTACAGATCGTGGTAGGCCTCGTCGTTGCGCGGTACGTGGTGGCGGTCTACGACGTGCCGCGCGTGGCGTGGTTCCGGCTTGCGATCGGAGGTCTGGCGGCGGCGTTCCTGGCCGGCGCGGAGGGGCTACTAGGGTTGATTATATCTGTGTATTTACACAAAGGAGGGGAGGACGGAAGGGATCTATGGGTTTGGGAGAGTGGGAATGGATGGGCGTTGGTCGCGACAATGTTTGGCGGGTTGGTTGCCTTTGCGGCGATGC